TCAGCTCTTTCATTCCTTAATTTACAAACAAGACACACACCTTGCATGGAATTTCTGCCATATGCTGGTGTTCAGTCTGCCCCCCAAAAAATCATCTCTCCTGTGTAGTGTTTTTGCATATTTGAGGAAATAAAGCAAGAGGTGAGGTAAAAAAATGTTTGATTCTCATTTAAATTGAAATCAGTATTATTTTAAGTGTTTACAGGTGTGTGCACATACTTACACATAGGTATGTGCATAAAAATCATAAATTTATCTATAAATGGGGTGCATCAGCACTGACTCAGCTGATTTAATGCAGTATTGGGCCAACAGAGCAGATACACTGTTAGAAAGCAAGAGATGGTGCCAAACACCAAAAAGTATCTCCTAACACTTCACATTTTGCCATCCATCACAGAAAACCAGGTAAAACTGGATAGAATTCCACTGGAACATCTTTCTACCAGCGGTCCCCTGCCTTGCAGAGTCCACAGGAACTGCAGCTGCACGATGCCAATTTTCTTCTATGATTTCCTTTTAGCCAAGAGGAAAGAAAATCAGCAGGTGAGGTTCATCCCCTTCCCCAAAATAATTCTGGCAGCTCTTTTGCAAGGACACACTCTCTGCAATCCATGCTGCAGCTGATTTCAAGGCAGCCCTCAGAAATTCCAAAAAACCAGAAATCTCAATAGCTGCACCTGGCTGTGCCCCCAGAAGCAGCCTTATCTCCAAAGATAATCTTTAATCTTTGAATCTGTGGTTCAAAACATCAACAACAAATAAATCTAGACAATGTTATTTAGATCTACACACTAAAGCTTGAACAATTTTCATCTGTCAAGGTTTGTTTGTCTGCCTGGCCCCTCCATCTTTTTGCTGCCTCCTTTTTTATGTACAGAAGGATGCAAACACTATAGATTGGGCAATTATAGATACACTGAAAGCATCAAAACTTCACTTCCCAAGAAATCCACCCATGATTTGTTACTAATGATATACTTACTATAAGAGAGAGATGGCAATTTTTAAGTGTTGTACAGAAGAATCCTTGGTTAGAGCCCAAATGTGGAGCTCATTTATTTTTTTTAGATATAGGTCACTCCTGCTCTGTGTTTGCAAGTATCAGCTGACAACATCCCTCTGCTCTGCTCACTTCAGCATATATTGACAAAGAGACACATATGGTATAATCAAAGCAAGTTTACAAGTCTTCTACAAAACAGGATGATTTGTAGAGAAACTGTCAGGCTTTGCTCTCAAAATAGACTCCAAACTGTCATCTTTTTTATTTTTTTGTAATAAACTACTCAACAGGTGTATGAAAGCCCTAAAGAGAATTACAAAATTCGTAGTGGTGATAGATGGGATAATATCTGAAATATTTGTGAGCTGCTCTGTCATTGGCAAGATGTGTTTTCCCTGAATTCTTATAAGAAAGCAAACCTGTTACACAGACAAGTCTAGGTATCTTTTCTCTGTGCTTCCATCATTTCAGCAGGTGCCAATAAACACTCCCAGACAGAGACAAGAGCTTGGCAAACATGCAAGAAGTCAATTATTCTACCATTGCAATCTCATTAACAAGCCGTACCTTTTTAAAAGCAAGTGATTGGGGACAAAAAAGCTTTCAAAAGCATGAACATGACTGAAACAGCTTTCAGGACCTGGACATGGAAGTTTTGCTCCTGATCTTTCCAAGTCTTTGAATAATTGCATCTGAAGTAATTTGTGAGGATGGGCTGCTTGTGTTTAATTGAGTTTTGTCCCAGTGACAGGTGGGACAAAGCTGCAATTACCAAAGAAGCAGCAGGGCAAGGAAAACCAAACCAAAATAAACTGCTCCTGTCCCACTTAACAAAACCAAATCTTCTGGAGTAAGAGATCAGTCCATTTTCCACACCAATAATAACCCAAACCATTTTTCCTGATGATGAACCTCAGGACAGTGGCAAATCAGCATGTTTTAAAATGGTGTCATTTAAAATTGTCTCATTTGAAGCGTTGCCATAAAGCATGCAAGAGCAAAAAGCAATTTAAATTATTGAAATGCAAGAAAAAAGCCAGGTTCTTGTGCAAAATGTTACACATTGAACATGTTAATGTTCATGCAACTATGGCAGCAGAAAGGGGGTTTCTGGAGGCTGAGTTTCAGCCAAATTTTGACCTCAAAAGCAAAATCCTGAATGAGAAAGTTGTGCTGAGCTTGACTGTAGGTGGCCCTGATCCCACCTGCAGGGTTTAAATACCTGATGGTTCCTGTGGGAGAAGGGAGGGGGCTGATCAGGTGAGCCATGTTGTCTGGAATGTTTATTGTTAAGGGAGAGATCTGGGGCTGCACAGGCTTCACTGGCGACTCGGGGGCCTCCTGCTTTTCTCTCTTCTCATTGGACAGAGCTGTGAATGTTATCTTGATGTTTGTGCTGGGAAACCTGAAAGTACAGCTGAAAAATAAAAATAAACAAATCTATCAGTCACTTGTGTAGAGAATGTAAAACTTTCTGAGTAACTTGCATGTTATCACCTAAGCTCATTTAGAATTTATAATTTTTACATATATATTTCTAATTACCCCACAACATCTTCATTTTACAGATCATACAGGGAGATCAATGTGACCAGAAAAAGATCCCCAGGTAAACACCTGACATTTGTTAAGGAACACAAGGAAATGCAATTCTTTCTAACAAGGGCAGTTTGTGCATTGTCTCTAAATTTCTTGAGGTTCATCCTGATCCTGCAGCAGCCCCAAAGCAGAGCTATTTTAAAAACAAAACCTCATTATTTTATGATGCCAAGGAACAGCTTCAGCAAATGAACAAGTTGGTCCATGATAGCAGAATGAATCATGAACAGTGGCCAATTTGAGGTCTAAACAGATTCATAGACTGGTGTAAGAGATTTGGGCTCTTTTCTCTTAAAGCACCTATTAAATTAAACATATCAATTCAAATTCTGCTCATTTACAGAGCATAGTGCTGCTCTAGTACTATATTCAAACACCCTTTTTTCAGAGCTGTATTTAAGACCCAATTTCAGTAAACTGCCTATTTTCATGTATAACCAAGGATTACTTGCCTAAATTTAATGACAAACAATAAATTAACAATGTGCAACTGTTTACAAATTTGAAAAATAAAATACAATTAATGTACCTTAGGATAATCCCTTTTTTACATCCCTGTGCACGGCATTTAGAAATAAACCCAATTAAACAGGACAGGCTTGTTTCTAACTTCTCAGTAAATAACTCTGCTTAATCTTGAGCAAATAAGAAACTTAATTTCATCTCAACAAAAGCATCTATAAAAATACAGTTTAAATAACTTTACTACCTCCTCATCCTTAAGCTGTTAGACTACACTGAGCACTAAACCCACGATGACATTTACATACCTCCCACATGATGAAAAGGACTTTCCAACAAGACTATACCCAGAAACAAACCTCACAAAATGTTGAGCTTTGGGGTTTGTTTTGCTTTTAAGTGCTTCTAGGCAGATCTAGTTTTATACAAAAAGGAAACAAGCACATGCTGGAACAAGGGCTAAGAAATGAGCTATGAATGCAAAATACAGACTGTAAATAAAAGTGATCATTTCTCTGGAAAAATATATGAAACATAAAAGTGATGTAAGAATTGGCAGGAACACTCAGCTGCAGAGTAGCCTTAGAAATGAACTCTCCTGTGTTTTGGCTTTCATATCTTCAAATGAATCGAAGGATGTTTATAGAACAAAGGCAGCATTTGATTTTCACTATGTCCCTTGCCACATGCACCACAGTGGTTCTTTTTCCCTACAATCCACATTCAAGGATCAGGAAAAAGAGAAAGAATTGACAGTGACCTTCCTTTTCTCTCTGTCTTACTTCTGAGTACGGACCGTGGCCGCATTTAACAGACGACCTATTTCTGAAACATGCTCAATGTACTAAATTAGGAACAGAATCTATGCCAAAAACTGCACAAGCATTTCAGCAAGGAAGTTAAATGGACCAATTTCTGGGTTGGGGTTTTTTAATATATTCAGTAACAACTCATTTCTTTGCTTTTTCCAGTAGAAAGCATTTTGTGCTTCTATCGTTTTAGTGACAATGGAAAGGGGTCTTGGTTGTTTTGGTAATAAAAATATTTTCCAAGCATTTCTTTTAAGCAGCAATAAAAACAACACAAGTGTATGCAAAGCCAGCCAAAGATTAAGAAAAAAATCCCTGTGAGAAAGTGAACAACAACATCTGCTTGATACAGATTTAGTCACCTTCCCTATGCATTTCATGAGGCTACTCCATACCTGCAAATTTACCTTAAATGCTTGTAAGACCAAATTTATTTCAAGTCCAGGGAATAACTGGACCTGGCTTTAGGTGCCAATTCCCTGGTTAGAGTTCTTATTGGTAAAAACCACCCCAGTGCACAGCACTGAGGAACTGGAGCCCTCCTGTGCCACACCAGGTCAGGATGGGAAAGAGATTAAATTAAACTTCTATAAATCTCCACAGCTACAGGAATATGGAAAGGCAGAAAAGGAACACTCAGCAGCTCCTTTGATATTCCATACTAAAAGATCTCTTTTTTACCCTCCTGCAGCCCTGAAGGCATCACCTCTCTCTGGCAAACAGCACAGACAGGGGGCTCTCAAATGCTCATCAAGGTTGGAAAAACACCCACAAAAACATCCCCAAACACAGGGAACCAACCAGGGGACTCCAGAGGTTCTACATATGCCAAACACACTGGGAACTGACAGACATGGAAACCCAAAGGCACCCCCAGTGCAGTTTACATTTCCATGCCTGAAAAGCCAGTGTAAGTAAGGAAATACAATGAACTTATAAATCCCTGTCTGGTTAGAGCAATAAACACCTGAATATTATCAAAAGACCACACCTGTCAATTGATTCATATTTGCAAACAGGTTTTTTTTTTTAATGGAGGGATATTTTTATAGCTGGAATTCAGCCAAAAAGCAGAATAAAGAGTGTACACTAACCAAGAGAATTCCTGAATAAACTGCAGCTATGCAAATGTATTATATTTACATCCAAAATCAAAGTAGAGAACATGTTCTAATTTGATCAGAATCAAGTTGGTTTTGGCATATTCTTTAGTTATACAATGAACTAAACAAAAACCACAGAAACACCCACAAGGAGAGACCTCATCAAACATTTAGTCCTCAACAAGCTGAACTGGGCTTTACTCACTGTTCAAAAGCTTACAAAAGTTTCACAACAACAGCATGGCTTGCTGGGAAAGAAATTCATCTAGACAATCCATTTACAAAAACATCCAAAGAAATAAAGACACCAAGCATCACAGCATTTCAAACACACTACCACAGCATGGCTTGCTGGAGGAGAAATTCATCTAGACAACCCACTTACAAAATATCCCAAAGAAATAAAGCAGTTTTGTGTATTTATTGATGGTAAGTCCAGGTGAGCATCACAACAGAGCCACTCCATGACCCAGGGAACCACAGGAGGTGTCACAGCTAAAATGTAACTCATAACCTCAAATATTCTTCTTTAAATTAACAAAAAAAAAATCATTGTGGGTTGATTACTGGAAAACAGAAACCAAATATCACAGCATTTCACACTATTCCATAGATAACTCATCTATATCTGCAGTTTCTAGGCAAGCACAGTGATGCTGATCCAGGCAGGACCTCTGCAGAGTTTAGGAACCTTGCAGGGTGCCAGAGAAGTGTCTCAGGGGAAAAATGTGCAAAGTCTGGTTTTGTCACATCTGGATTTCCAATTTTTTCTCCCTTCCCCTCAGCAGTTCTGTCCATACTGCAGGGAAAGGCTGATGATACACTTGTAATTCTGCCTGTGTGAAAATCCCATCTGACTGGGAAGGAGGAATTTCATCCTGTCTTTATCTGGGAAACCAACACACAGCAGAAGAATTCAATTTTTCCCTGTACATAAACCCTGCTGTGACACCAAGTGCTTCAGTATCTTTGAATTATTCCAGTTTAATTGCCTTCTAAGAACCAGGACCAAAATCAGACAGAAGCTGCCATGGCACTTTGATCAGCAGGTTCTTTTATCAGCACCTCCAGATTTTACATTCAAATAGATGATAAGGGCTGAGCAGTGATAACCCCTCAAGTCAGGGTGGTTACAAGTGCACAGCTCAATTCCTTCACACTCACTGTGATCCTGAACCCCTGTTAACTTCAAGATCCCCTGAGATTTAAAGAGATCTGAAAGAATAACGAGATGCCTGGTTTTGAACTCTTGTTGATTTACTGAGAGCCAAGGACAGCTTCAACTTTTCACATTAAAAAGCCAAGACTCAAAAAAGAACCCAGTCAGCAGCTGGGAGATTGCTTGTGTCGATTTTTGACTTCAAATACGTTCAAGGTGAACACAGGCAGCGTTAACTCCCCACAAAGGGAAGCAGAGGTCATTACCAACATCTGCACCAGCAAGCACAGCTTTTCCAGTTTTCTCTGACACTACAGCAGCCTGGGATGATGCTATTTCTGCTTTCTTCTGCTATTTTGATCAGTGAACTAACAAAAAACCATGGAAATCACCATACTTCTAGCTGTGGTCTCCTTTCCATGGAAGGGAGATTTGAAACGAATCCATTTTCTAATTCCTCTTACCTACCTACTTGTGATCTACTTCCCAAACCTTCCCCTTATTCCAGTAAAAATGACTCTCACAGCCAATTCATTTATTTATATATATGCACACTGACAATCACCTACAGTGCACACTCCCAGGCACACTTTTGAAATAATTATTTTTCAAAAGTCAAGCAAAAATTGAGTTTTTACATTTTTCAGACACAACTAGAGAGAAACTGAGTTTGGAAGGGACCTCTGAAAGTGTCCAGCCCAGAGCAGGGTAACTTCCAAGTCACACCAGCTTGCTCAGAGCCTTGTCTCTCCAAATTTTGAAGCCTTCCAAATATAGAATTGGGCAACTCATTTCTTCTAATTACACCCTCAAGCAGTGAATAGTTTCTCATTTGTGCAGATACAAATTCTTCACTGCAACTTCTGCAGCTGCTTGTGCCCAGAGTGTGAGGCACAGCCTGGCCTCAGGCTTCCCACAATCACTCCTCAGGCAGGGGAGGGCTGCACCAAAACCCATCCTTGGGCTTCTCCAGGAAAATAAAATTAAATTAAATCAAATTCAGGTCCTTTAGGCTCTCCCTGAGCATTCCAGCAAGTCCATTAAAGGAAGTGTCCACAGGAACGTGGTGCTTGGAAATTACAATTTGATTGACTTCCTGCTAATGGGCAAATTTCAATTTGAAAGCACAAGGACCCCAATTTCATCTCTTCTCCATTTGCTGCTTCATTTATTATTGATTCCATCACAATGGATTAATAGGATATTAATTATAAATTAAACAATATGTGGCTGTGGTTTTTAACTGGTTTTTAAATAAACAAGACTTAAAAGATGAGTCTTAACAAGAACAACTAGAAATATCATGGAAGTGAAAAAAAGCTCAACAAGTTGAAGTATGATTAAATATTTCAGTGTCTGAATTTTCTACCAAAAGGTTTCTGACTGCTCAACACCAAGAGCAGGC